AGGACAAGGCATGTTCTGTTCTGGTGTACAACACAGGGTTGGTATGAGTCAGAACCAACTCAATGGCGCCTAACAACAACAATACAAGTTGGCATCAATAGGAAGGATGGCTTTCAACCAGACGGGTGTGGTTTTCCTCATGAGACCACTAGATGGCAGTCTTTGGTGATCATCCACCTAAAATCCTTACCTGCTTTTGTCGGTCCAGTTCTGCCTCTAGCTCTTGTTTCGATGCTTTTTGTTGTGCTAGCTGGTCTTGTAGTTCTTGTAACTGCTCCCTTGCCGATTCTGCTTCATTAACCTGCTGAGCCTCCACATCCTGAAACGGTGAACCTTACATGTGAAAAGCAGTAATTAACTGTTTGGTTCAACACTTACTGAGTACACACTACCGTACCATAGCTACCGTGCCATAAGTGGGTTCAGCGAGAACTTGAAGGATAAAAGACGCGAGAGGCACAGATTCAGTCTATGAGGAGCCCATGAACTGACACCTTCACCACATAGTATGATGGGGGAGGGGGACACCCAGAAAGCTCCAATTGCCTGTTGCCCATTTAATTCAATGATGAGTAGGAAGAGACAGTGGCTCGGGGAGGTTTATGTTTATTCTAAGGCTAAGGATTCCTAAAAGCATAGAAATAAAACACCACCAAAGCCTAATGACCAAAGTCACTGACTTAGTCCCTGAAACTGCAGGTTACAAAATAGGTTTTGTGTGCACCAGTATGAAGTTCTCCCACGATGTCTCATGTTAGTATACTGTGACTTGTCTCCTGAGCTTTCACCGAGACCTGCTTTGACATCCCACTGTTCCTACTCCTTCACTCTGGCATCGCTACTCTTTACTTCTCAACACACAAAAACACCTCCTGGATTTACTGCAAAATTAAAATACAGTGCCCAAGAACCTGGCTTGAGGTTTTGAGGCTTTCCCCGGGGGTTTTAGGCATGTCATATCTGCGGAACTACAGACTGCCTGGCACACGGTGCATGGCCAGCACTCTGTCATGTCTGCTGAATGAGTGACTTTCATTAACCAGCTTAGTCCTATAGCTTTACAGTCACTCTACTGCCTGGGATTCACTTTCATCCGGTGAGTAGTAACATTCATACATGCTATTGCACTCAAACCCGTCCCCCGGGACACAGAATCCATTCTGCCCCCTGACTACTATTTGGTGGGGTTAATGGATGTCTGTGAAGCTGAACCACAAGGCGTCTCACCTGGAGTTCTGATCGCAGCTGGTGGATCTGGACCATCAGCTTCTGCACCTCCTCCCTCTGCATCTCCCTCTCATGCCGAAGTTCTTCCAGCTCCATGCTGCTGGCAGTACTGCTATCTAGACCTTCAAAAGCAGACCCTTCTTTTAAGCTGTTAATCAGTTTTTCTTTAGACTGTTACAAAAAGAGAAATGGATTTAAAGAGAAATTATAGAGTGCATACGAATGACATCTATGGGAATGCAGAAACTAAAGCACTGTGGGACTATTCCAATTGTATCTTCAATTATAACGTCAAAGGAAGTTCATGGATTGGTAGACCTACGGGAACAGAAACACATCAGAGTCTTGCTGTATAGGGACAGTGCTTGGAAGTCAGGCACCAGGATCACATTAGAGTTGAAAAGTTGAAAAGATCTCATACATCGAGATGAGACATTTTTCATGTTTTCTTTTTTTTTAAATTACATTCCACTCAACAAATATTTAAGGAGCACCTACAATGGGTCAGACCCTGTGCTAACTGTCCTATGGAATGAAGATGATGTCTTTGCCTCCGGAGAGCACCCTCTGCCTATCAGTGGAGTGGGCAGTGATGAGATTCCAGCAAGAGGCAGTTAGGACAGGTGGACAGAAGCAGCAAAATGCTGGCCTTGGAAAACGGCCAGGATCTGAGAGGTAGAGAGATAGCGAAGGGCTAAGCATAAAGGTGCCAGAGCTCTGGCCTGTGAGAAAGCCAGTGCCTGGGCCCCTGCAGAGCTGCAGGACTACTGTCCTGCTCTTTGACATGTTTACCTCAGTCACACCCATTCTGCAAACTCCATTTTTCATCATCTCCCTGAACCCTACATTATCTCTTCCCTTTGCTAGGACAGAGGATCTTCATTTCAGATAGTCCTTCACACCAGAAACTACAAGTCTTCTGTGATTCCACTGGCCTTCTCCCCGCTCTCTCCAATTAAATTCCCAGCTCTCACATGGTCTACGTCTACCTCCTACACATCCATCCCAGGTTTCCCTGCCCTCTGCCACCACTGTACTCAACACTTCTCACCGTGACTTCTTAGTTACCTCTTCACATCTGCTGCCTCTCATCTCACCACTGCACCCCCACTCCTTCATGTCGTCATTCAGCAACAACTTACTGAGTTCCAGGCCCTGGGCTGAGGTGACAACACCACACGGGACTGAGGCCCTGCTCTCCTCTAAGCTCCTTGCTGTGGCCTCCCCACATCCGTCACCTCATGGGATCCAATCAAAACTCCCTTACATGGTAGACAAGGCCCTTCATGGTACAGCTTCTACTTGACATTTGTTTTATCTTCTGCTTCTTATTCTCTAACACTTCCTTCTACGTTCTAGCAGCATGGAAGCAGCCGCCAGCTCCCACACAGGCCATGTTCTCTCCAGCCTCCTTGCCCTGACAGGCTGTTCTCCCAGCTGGTTCCACTGGTAATCTCTCCCCACTCATCTTTCCTGTTTCTCTTCATACCACATCCTCTCCCTGCAGTGATCCCTGATTTCCCCAAGCTCTCACGCTACTGTATCCACAAGCAACTTCATTAAATCAAGTACGCCAAGGTTCCTCCATTAAGCTGAACACCCTCTTAGGAAAGAGATGACATGGCTTTGAGCTTTGTAGCCTAGTAACAACAACAACAACAAACCTATCATAAATTCAAAACTACTAGTCATTCTACAGGAGAAAGATGAGGCTTTCTGCTCCCCTAAGATTTACAGCCTCGGAAACCCTACTCAGGATCACTGTGAGTCGGAACCGACTCCACGGCACACCACCACCTATCGTAAACTATCATCAATTAAAAACAAAAAACCAAGCCCGTTGCTGTGTTGAATCAACTTTGACTCAGGGTGGTCCTTACAGGATACAGTAAAACTGCCCCATCAAGTTTCCAAGGCTGCCTCATCTTTTTCTCACACAGTGGCTGGTAGGTTTGATCTTACCCTACAGTGCTTAACCACTGTATACCAGGGCTCCTGCACATCACTGTGAAGTGCTGTGGGGTCAGTTCTGACTCACAGCAACCCACTGGGGGGTTTCTGAGGCTGTAAATCTTTACAGGAGCAGAAAGTCTTGTCTTTCTCCCATGCAGCTAGCATGTTGCTGTTGTTGTTAAGTGCCGATGAGTCGGTTCCAAGCCATAGCGGCCCTGTATGGGGTTTCCAAGGAGCGGCTGGTGACCTTGTGGTTCAAATCAACTTGGCAGTCCAGTGCTTTAACCCACAGAGCCACCCCAGGACTCCTTTTTGATTCTACCACCATGAAGTATATATATCTATCTCCTCCAAACCCTTCTTATTTTAGTTTTTGTAAGTCTCTAGATTTTTTTTCACTTACAAGTAGTTATTGAGCACCTAATTATTTATTAGGTGCTATGCAGCTAGCATGTTGTTGCTGTTAGGTGCCATCAAGTTGGTACTCACTCATAGTGACCCTATGTACAACAGAATGAATGCTGCCTGGTCCTGGGCCAACCTCACAACTGTTGCCACGCTTGAGCCCACTGATGCCACTTTGCCAATCTATCTCACTGGGGGTCTTCTTCTTTTCTCTGATCCTAGTACCTAATAACTAGGTGCTCAATAAATACTTGGATGTGAATTAAGATCTAGTGATGTGCACAATTACAATTAGAAAGGTTTGGAGGAGATACATCAAATATTCATGGTGGTAGAATCAAAAAGGTGCTCATGGGCAAGCGGAGTAGGGGCTAAGTTGAAAGGTGAAGCTGAGGATGACTGTGAAGTTTCCAGCTCTACTGCCTGGGAAGATGGCCCTAATATTTATTGAAATAGAAAGAGGAAGAGAAGCTGATAGGGACTGGGGCAGTTTATGCAAAGAGGCAGAGCAGGCGATAGAAACAGGGGTCAGGAGGTCAGGGATGAAGACATACTTGAAGTTTGGCATTAGAGGCAGAGCGAACACACGAATTTGAAGTTTGGCATATGAGGCAGCAAAGTCAGACAGAAAAACATAAAGACAGCACTGGAGACTGAGACAGGGCCCAGCTAAGACGGAAACAGCAGGAAGAGAGAAACAGAGAGCCTTGGCCAGGAAGGTGGTGCCGAAGGCCAGGGAGGGAGGGGTGTCAACAGGGCAGGAGGGCTAATAGTGTTAAATATTCCACCCAAATCAAAGACGATGGAACGATAATATGTATGTAGGCTAAGGAAGAATTTTGGAAAGAAATTTTCATAGTGTTGAGAACAAAGAAATTATATCAAGAAGTTACTAAGTGCTAAGAAACCCACTGGAGTCCTGGTGTGGCACTATAGCAAAAGCACTAGACCGGAAGGTCAGTTTGAATCATGGTTCAAACTCACCAGTGGCTCCCTGGAAACCTGATACAGGTTGCTATGAGTGAGAACCAACTTGATGGCACTTAACAACACCAGTCACTCCTTGAAAACCCTGTACATTGTCTCAATGAGTAGGAAGTGACTCAATGGCACTTAACAACAAGAAGACAAAGTAAAGACCATGGGCTCATACAGTATAGTTCTGATAAATACAGCATTGAGATATGGAGAGGGACAGGACAAGTGTTCAAAGTGGTCAAAATGCCAACGGGTTGTTTTCATCTTAGGTGGTAGTTCCAGGATCCTGTTCTTTCTCTAAGTAACTGTGTGCTCTTGAGTAAGCTGAGCAAGGTGACAGCAGAGAGGAGCAGATGCGGACTGAAAACGGGGACAGATTTACTGACAAAGGGCTTAAAGCAAGAGGAGATGGAATTAATATTCATGGGAAAAATTCTCCTAGAAAAAAAAGAAGGAACTGGTTTTCCCTCTGACATTAGGTGAAGGGGACAGAGAAATTATAATTGCAGGGAGGAGGAGGTAGGGTCACCTTTGATCTGACCAAGGGGGCACAAAGCTGGGCAAAAATCTGAGAGCTAGGTGAAGCCTAGACCAGATGCTCCTAAGAGTTCAACCAATTATCAATAAGGAGGAATACAATGACTATTTAACAGCAAGTATGATCACCATGATCATGCAAACAGGTTGAGGGCCTGAAGTAGGGAATGGCAGAATAAATTAAAAAACAAAAACAGTGGCAGGAAGGAAAGTCATTTCTCCTTTTTACGAAATTCCTGAGTAAGCTGAAGGTAGCCAACACAGCCAAATACCAACAACTCATTTCATGTACACAGTCTCTTAACTAAGCGGCACACATCATCATCCACAAGTGCACATTCCCAGCTTACTTGGAGTATTCTAGAAGCTTTTTGCTTGTAGTCCACTAACTCCTGCTTAGAAGACTCCAGGGTGGACTTGAGCATCTTAACTTGCTGCTGTAGGTCCTCGACTCTCTTCTTCTCATCAGAGTACTTCCTTTCCGCCAGAGTAACCGTTTCTGCCAAATTCTGACGCTCCACTTCCATTTTATTGAGGCGCGCAGCAAACTCACTCTGAGATAAATGGTAATATCGTACTTATATCACTTTGCTTTGGAATATACCTGACAGCCATCCCGTCAGATACTCTGAGATTTACTAGCTCAGCCCAATAACAAATTAGGGAAGAAAAAACATTCCTCATTATATTAGGAGCTGAAGAACAGGAGATATAAAGTGTGGCTCCCACACATGGCAATGCAGCAAAATCAACAGAGTCTGTGAAAAACATAGCCAGCCAAGGAAACTCAGTCACAATTGTCAAGACTGCCCTGAGAATCTGTTTTTTGAAAAAAATAAAAATAAAAAGAGATTTCCCAGACGATTCTGGCACTTGAGTATTAGGTCTGCTCCGAAAGTAGCTGGTCAGTGAATAATGTTTTTGTTAGGTGCCATCATGTTCCAACTCATAGCGACCTTATGTACAACAGAACAAAACACTGCCCGGTCCACACCAGCCTCACAATTGTCGTGTCTGAGCTCACTGTTGCAGCCACTGTATCATTGGGGTACGGGTGGGGAAGAAGTCTCCCTCTTTTTCACTGACCCTCCACTTTCTACGTCTATAGAAAACCAGAAACTTATTAGGAAAAAGTTGGAAAAATTAAGTAAACAGATCTTTTCTAATATGATGGCTAAATATTTTCCACCTTATTTCAAGTTGTCTAATAAACAGTTCCATGTCCTACTTTTCCCTCGCCCTTTTTGTTTGAATTGGGTGAAGATTTACTACAAAGTACTTTTTTTTAGCTTAAGAAGCATTTAAAGCACACTCTAAAAATACACTGTCAATCACTTATGTCTAGAAATAAAAATACATGCTCCAGTCTGCGGTTTATTTTCCCCTTTATTCTTGGACGCTCTCATCACCAGACAACTCAGCAGGGGAATCAGAAGGCAGAAAGTGCACAGTGACACGCCACTACCTAGAGCCCATCCACTTGGAATGAGCTTCAGCACATTTCAGAGAACAGGAGGAGCAAGAGCAGTTCCCAGACACACGCTGGTGTACTGCTGTGGAGCCGGTGGGTTGGCTATTTGTTTTAAAGCTCAAGGGTAAGAATCTAGAACTTTATACCCCAGTCTACGCTCTCTGAGGAGCTGACTATGATTGGAAATCCTTACAGGCCAGGCAGTGTCCTTCTGTTGTACATAAGGTCACTATGAGTTGGAACCAATTCAACAACACCTAACAACAAAGAATAATTTGACTATGTGAAAAGACACAGCAAGTATTTCCAAAGAAAATCTGGCGACTGAATTGAGATTTGCTGTAAGTGTAAAATACATATATTTCAAAGGATTAACATGTAAAAAACAATGTTAAGATATCTCATTAATAGTTTTTTATATTAATCACATGTTAAAATGATAGTTTGGATGAACTGAGATAGATAAAATATATAATTAAAAAAAAACAAACAACTGCAAAAAACACTGCCGATATTTAACTTTCCGACTGAAGCATTTTTACCTGCTGAAAGATGGACCCAGACCAGTAGTGCTCAACCCTGATTAGAATCACCTGTGAGTCTTGTAAACTCACCCCCCCCCACCCCTCCCCAAACAACCAAGTAAAGCAAAATAAAACCCAACGCCGATGCCTAAGCCTTAATCCATACCAATGGAACAGATAACCCTGTGAGTGGATATGCGGTATCAGAAAGGATTCAAAGCTCCACACAAGATTCTAATGTGCAGATGGGGTTGAGAATCACAAGGCAAGATGCAAAAGCTCATCTTAGGAATGACAGGGTGTACAGCCTTTTTTTGAAATAAATAATCAGAAGAAACTGGACTCAGAAAAGGCTTAAGTAGAAATAATAAACAAGGTGCTCGGAATCAGCATTTAGTTAGGAAGGTGACAAAAATGAATGACTTTAATGAATACTATTTTAACTGTATTCTAACACATAAAAGTCAATACATTTAGCAAGGATCAAGCTAAAATTTCAAACATCTGGTTTATGTGACAGAAACGAATTTTTCTGAAATGCTCTTGCATCATGTTCTCTGGCGCGGCCTCCCGCTCTCACCTGCATTTGCTTATAGTTCTCCTGCTCCCTCTTCAGCGTGGCATCTGCTTCATGCAGTCTGTCTTGAAGAGTCTGCAGCGCTTGATTCTGAAGGCTACTACCTTCAGTGTGGTCCTGCATTATCCTAAAAGAAAGCACATCACTTGAAATACTTCATTCCCATTTGTACAGGTAGAATTATTTGTTACAGCATTGGCTTGCTGGCACAAAAAAGATGATCCGACTAAAACATCCTTAGAGCAATCTTTTTTGCTTTTTAAAGGAATGTAATCTGTATTTTAGGAATCCTGGTGTGGCGCTGCAGGATAAGCAATGGACTGCTAGTTGCAAAATAAGTGATTCCAACCCACCAGCTACTCCTCAGACGCTTAACAACAACAACCTGTATTTTAAGGAGCCCAAATAGCACAGTGGTTAAGAGATCAGCTACCAGCTGACAGGTCTGTGGCTCAGACTCACCAGCGGGCTCTGTGGGAGAAAGACAGGGCCGTCTGCTGCCATCAGACACCAGTCTTGGAAACCCTATGGGGCAGTTCTACTCTGTCCTATAGGGTTGCTACAAGTCAGAATCAACTCAACAACAATGGGTTTTAAGTCTATTTATTTTTAGGCATTAAAATATAAGCATATTCCACACCTTGTTATATGTTAAATGATGAATTAGCTAACAGTGCATTGTCAAGGTTCAAACAATAATCTGAACAATTTTTAATTGCTGTTGAAAATTTACACAGGAAAACGTGATTACAGTCTTAAAGTTGTGCAACCATCTTCATCATCTTTTTTTAAATTGTTCCCCCCATGCAAGGTTTCAATCTATCTGTTCAGGTTACTGTTGTCAATTTGATCCCATATATGTAGTAATTTCAGCCCTTTTTAATCACACAAATTTCTAACACTATCAAATCATAACACTGCCCTCTTGTCAATTTCCCCAGGTTTAAATTCTCATAAGGGAGACTACACTGCCATGTTTACCACTGTACTGTAAAGAGACCATCATTGGAGCTCATGTTTTCATAACGAATGGAATTAGCTACCGTGATTTCTCACTCTGTAAGGCTTCTAACACTTCCGTGCGGGTCCTCAGCAGCTGGTCAGCTTCCTGCAATCGCACTTTCAGGACAGCTAGCTGGGAATCCTTGGCAGCCACTGCTTCAGTCAGATCGTCTACTTGGGCTCGAAGTTCTCTTGTTATTCGATCGCTCTTTGAGTGGTCAACATTCCACTTTTCAACTCTCGTTCTTGCTTGGTTTAATTCTATAAGAAAAATGAAATTTCACACAATAAGCCACAAACACATCTTTCGTGAAGCACATACAGACTCTCCTCTGAGTCCCTTTAGTATAGTACTTTCTACCAAAATTAGGGGCTTACAGAGATCTTCAAATTTCAAGGTCAATGTTGACACCTATGGTACCTTTCATATGTCAGAAAGAGGCATGAAGCTAATTGTTCCTCCACAAATATTTTTTCTAGAGATGTTTCCAAAAGCACTTGGAAGTTCACACTCATAAATAATGCATAGTGAACAACACTAACATGCTGCATGGATTTTTGCAGCTCTAGAGCCACAGGTGGTGATGGTGATGTGCCACCATGGTGATGAGTCGGTTCCGACACAGCGACCCTGTATAGAGATTCCGAGGCTATAAAACTTTATGGGAGCAGAAAGCCTCATCTTTCTTCTGCGCAACTGCTGGTAGTTTCAAACTGCTGACCTTGAAGTTAGCAGCCCAACTTGTAACCACTACACTACCAGAGCTCTTTGCTAGCCACAGGGGAAGAAGGCAAACCTCAATGAAAGGTAGGCCATGGACACACCCCACCCCTAATCCAAACAAACAAAAGCAAAATCCAAAGGTAAACACAGGAAAAATTGGTTTCTCCTAGTTCTGTTGCAAAAAATTGTAGGTATCAACCTATTAACCTAGGCAATCGGTTCAGAAAAGACCTAAGCCACGTTCCATTCAAAACACACTGGCATCACCACACCCTCATGGACCAACCACAACTGTAGCTGTCCATTTGCAATTTGAAGCACACTTCACAGTATCTCAGGAAAAACGAATTTCTGTATCTAAAGAGTCTGAGGAACGTGAAGCTCTTTTTCTGCAATTTAGCCAGTCATACTAGTCTTAAAATGCTCCCTGTTCCGTATGTCTGGGTCTCCATCCATTGCAAAACTTTCCCACTGGTTCCCATTCCTCCTGACCCCCCCTAAGAATTAAGACAGAGCCTTCAGGTTTTCTCCTCAACCACACTTACATACTCACTCTTTAGTCCTGGGGTGTTTCCTCTTTAGTTATCCATTTCTAAGGAACTCTGGGGTCCTTCTTACCCCCCTCAGGGCCACCTTCCTGTGCAACTCTACAGGGTATGATTCAAACTCTATTCCATGTGGCCATGACTACTACTGCCCACTACCTTCTGTCTGAGCACACCTTTGGTTCATGGAATAGGTTTCTGTAAGAGACCCAGAACCAAGAGACCAAATGACCCAGATTACTCCTGTTTTCATTCCTCTCAGTTCTTAGATTTCATGGTTCCTTAAAGGAGGACCCCACAAGCCAATGTTCTATGTTTCAAGTTTGGTGGGAGGATGATGGGTCCCATTTCCATATCTAGGCACCATATTAGGGGACTTATTAATCTCATCTCAAATACGAATAATGGCTTGGATGTCAGGTTTTTCATTTTTGAAATGTTACATTCCCTGATTCAGAACAACTAAAATAAGCCTGTACCTTCTTGAGTCTCCTTAGATCTCTGAATTAAGGAAGCCATTTCTTGATTTAAAGACTGAACTTCATTCCGCAGCAGCTGGTTCTCCAGCCGCAGGCTTGAGAGCTCGTGGGATTGACCAGCGTTACTAGATGTCAGTGTGGAGCCACTGCAGGCAGCGTTTGATGATACATTTTCCTTGGAAGAATCCTCCTGGCTTTCAGGGCCAGCATCAGAATTACTTGAGGCTTCTGAGAAAAAAACCAATACATTTGTTAGCCTGGTCCACTGAAGAAATACCCATTAGTAGCTTACTTTGGTGGGCTGTCTGCCGTCTCACTGCTCTAGCCAAAACAGGCAAAAAGTTCAGTTCTCAGTGGATTTCGCCCTGACTAAATGTCATTCTCATAAATGGAGCCCTCTGACCTCTAAGGATCCTCACCATGAGGACACACTGAATGAATGTGGATAAAGAAAATATACAAGAGCACAACAGCTTTGCTTTCGCCCCAACCACACACACACATACACAAAGACTTAATAAAAAAGAAAGAAAAAAGTTCTGAGGAGGAGAAAACCTGAGATAACCTCAGCAGCTGGCTCAGGTGAAACAGCAAATCTTTTAAGTTGTTGTAACAAAATCTCAAATCTGAAATCTCAAAACTGAAAGTACTGGGAAAGCCCAGAAGAGTCACGGTGCATTTCAAAGCAAGGAGAGTAAAAACAGATCAGAGCAAGCAACTCGCTATACAACAAACTGGAATCTAAAATGTCTTAACTAAAGAAAAAGACTCATTCATTCTGATTTATCTTGTTTTTTATACCAAATATGGTACAGTTTTTCCTTTAAAGATATAAATATGAATTAAATATGTGCTAAGGAAGGAATTATTTCTAAAATAATAAAATTGGCTAAAACAATAACTACGTGGGGAAAGAACAGATAGCTTTATAAGGGAAAATAAATGGTCAACGAGTATATGAAAGCACATCTTGGCTGAAAGCATTATTGACTATGAAAAGGTTTTTGACTGTATGGATTAGGACAAGCTATGGACAACATTGCTGAGAATGAATATTCTGAGACTCTTAATTGTACTCATGAGGAACCTGTATACAGACCAAGAAGCAGTTGTTCAAAGAGAACAAGGGAACACTGAGTGCCTTAAAATCAGGAAAGGAGTACACCATATTTATTCAATCTCTATACTGAGCAAATAATCTGAGAAGCTGAATTATATGAATAAGAATGTAACATCAGGATTGGAGGAAAACTCATTAATAACCTGAGATAGAAGAAACAACCTTGCTTGCTGAAAATGAAGAGGACTTGAAGTACTTACTTAGGAAGATCAAACACCACAGCCTTCAGTATTCAAGGTGCACCTCAATGTAAAGAATACAAACATCCTTAACCAGTGGACCATAAATAACATCATGATAAATGGAGAAAAAGATTGAGGTTGCTAAAGACTTCATTTTGCTTGGATCCGCTATTAACACTCACGTAAGCAGCAGTCACGGAATCACACGACATATTGTACTAGGTAAATCTGCTGCACAAGACCTCTTTAAAGTGTTTAAGAACAAAGATGTCAGTTTGAGAACTAAGGTGCACCTGACCCAAGCCACAGTATTTTCAATAGCTTTTTATTCAGTGAATAAGAAAGACGGTAGAAGAACTGGTGCTTTTGAGTTATGGTGTTGAAGGAGAATATTAAAAGTACTATGGGCTGCGGGCTGCTAGAAGAACAAACAAATCTGTGTTGGAAGAAGTCCAGACAGAATGGCCATTAAAGAAGCCAGAATGATCACACTTTTTCTCTCCTACTTTGGACATGTTATCAGGAGGGACCAGTCCCTGGAGAAGGCCATCAATCATGTTACGTAAATTGAAGGGTCAGCAAAAATGAGGAAGACCCACCCCCCACAATGAGAATGGCCCAGTGGCAGCAATGGGCTCAATGGCAAAGAACCAGACAGTGTTTCATTCTGTTGTGCACAAGGTTGCTATGAGTCAGAACTGACTTAGCGGCACCTAACAACAACGTAAAGGTAATGCTAAAGGTGCTATGGGTTAATATGCTGGACAGCAAGATTAGTTTTAACCACAAACCCGGCAGTTCAAGCTCACCAGACGCTCCTTGGAAACCCTATACAGGGTTCTCTAAGAGTTGGAACCTACTCAACAACAACAAAATGATAACAACAAAAGCTAATACTACCAAGTCAATCTCACTTATGGAATAAATGCAAAAAGTCTAGACAGAATATTAGGAAATTGAAAGTAAGTGTGGACTTACATTAAAAAAAAAAAAAAAACCTGAATAATCATATTCACATATTAAAGAAAAATCATATAATCACCTTGATATAAAAATAAACACTATTACAATGTAACATGATAAAAATAAAATTAATATGCAATATAACTACCTGAATCTGAAATCAAGTTCCTATGAAACCTAATGTGAACATCACACAGAATAGTGACAGTCAAAGAAGCCCCTTTAAGACAAGGAACGAGACACAAACTTGGTCTTTGTGTCCTAGCCGGGGCAGTAAGGAAAGAAAACTAAAATCAAAGTCACTGCCTGTGAGCAGATTCCAGCTCAGAACAACTCTAAAGCACAGAGTAGAGCTACTGACTGCCTCACAGAAGCCCCACACCTAGCCCACTGTCCCACTAGGGTTCCTGAAGGCCACAAAAAGAATCTAAAAAACAATGAAAGGATTAAGAAGAAACCAACCTGCCACTATCCATACATGAAATAATCGACTGTGTTGTTGAAAATTTAAATAATTTATGGGAACAGAATTAAGAAGAGTTATCTAGGTTGTTTTCAAGGAAGCTTCAGAAAGTTTGTGGATAAATTCTATTATCTTTTAATTCCAGTTTTCCAAGAACTTTTTCATTGCCCCTCCTGGTATGACACTGTAGAATATATGCACTAGACTGCTAACCACAAGGCTGGCAGTTCAAACCCACCAGCCGCTCCTTGGAAATCCGATACACAGTCTCTATGTATAGGATTCTGTGTAGAATCAACTCAAACGCACTTAACAACAACAACAATACACAGGAAAGTCAATATACCAGCAAAATCTTAAAAGGAATCCATTTATGATAGCTTCAAAAAAACACAAATTACCTAAGAATAAACGTAAACAAAAAGTATTACGAGATTTTCATGGAGAAGACAAAAGAATCTTAATGAATGAACTAAAATTTAAAGTGAATCTCGGAATCCTGGTATGGTACTGGAGGATAAGTACTGGGCTGCTAACCACAAGGGTGGAGGTTCAAACACAGCAGCTGCTCTTCAGAAACCCTATACAAAATCTCTGAGTTGGAACTGACTTAACGGCACTTATGTTATAAGGTATTGTGAAAATGCCGATTCTCACCAAACAGATCTATACAGAACCATGGATTCTGAATAAAAAGACAAAGAGAATTTTTGTCCAACTTGAGAAACAAATTCTAACACATGCAGAAATGCCAAAATCCAAGAACAGCCAATGCATTTCTGAAGAATAAGATGGGAGAAGTTGTCCTACCAGAGATCAAAACACTGGCATAAAGGTAGGCAAATCAACCAATGAAAAAGGAGGAATGCCCAGAAACAGACCAATGTGTAGATGAGTACTTGACACATGACAGAGGTGATACTGCATTTTCTCTCTTCCCTCTTTCTGCGATTATAGACTACAGTATCCAATCTGTCTTCTTTGCTGTTGCTGTTTTGTTTTTAGGTACTCTCTTTGCCTTTAGGGGGCTCTTTCACACCCTACATTACCCAAGAAGAGAAAACAATTGCGGTCATACAGTCAAGCTACAATCACACCCTATTTAAACCCACCATCCAGGCAAGAACCAATACCAGTTGCCATACACCAGGTAGGCAGCCAACACCTGCAACAGGAACAATCAAATAAGATAGATACAGCATTGGAAACAATTCAAAACCTACAGAAGAGGTCCAAACGATTAAAAATAGAATATCAGAAGTGGACAATACACTGCAAGGGCAAAGGAGTAGAACTGAAGAGATGGAAGCCAGAACTAGTGAGCTGGAACACAAATCTCTAAATATTACTTAAGACACAAGAACAAGCAGAAAAAAGGATAAAAAATCTGAAGAAGGTCTAAGGTTCATGTTGGACAGCATGAAGAGGAATGACTTAAGAGTTATCTGCAATCCAGGACAGGAATAATCACACAAGTCCACAGAGGAGCTAGTTGAAGAGCTTCTGGAAGAAAATTTCCCAAACATCCTGAAACGTGAAATGATAAGCATTCAAGAAGCTCAACGAACCCCAGGAAGGATAGACCCCAAAAGAAAATCACCAAGACATATAATAAGCTCTCCAAAATTAAAGATAAGGAGAGAATCCTGAAAGCTGCTAAGGAAAAGACAAACGTTACGTCTAGAGGCAAGCAAATCAGATTTAACTCAGATCTCTCAGCAGAAACCATGAAGGCAAGAAGACAATGGAGAGACATATATAAAACCCTGAAAGAAAAAAACAAAAACTGCCAACCAAGAATCCTCTACACCCAGCTAAGCTGTCAATCAAATACAACAATGTAATAAAAACATTCCAGGATAAACAGAAGCTAAGGCATTTTGCCAAACCCAAACCAGCTATGAAAAACATCATAAAGGGAGTTCTGTGGACTGAGAACAAACAAGAACAGAAAACAACTACAAAATGACGTACATGGCAGCATCACCCTGAACTCAATCGACACAATGGAAGAGTCAAGAACAGAATAAAATAAGAACAGAAGATCTGGGAGGTCAGTCTATGATCTAAACAATTACAATGTGAAAGAAGGTAAACACAGAGGAACAGAGATCTAGATGGTGGGAAAGTCAGATAGATTACAGGATAAAACAGACTGTCTTAAATGGAGGGAAAAATTAATGTAATATAAGGTAACCAAAACAATGGCACTGGGGTGGGGGGTTTAGTTTGAGTGTTGGGGAGAGCAATACAAGAAGGGGAAGGAGGTGGAAGAACAAGATAGATAGAGGAACACTGAGACAGGTTTGCATGTCCTAAGTGGACAGAGGTAAACAGTGATACATGCTCAACCTTGGAACAACAGGGCTCTGGGATACAGGGATCTAGGCATAGCTTGAAGAGGGGAAGTAATACTAAAATGCTTGACTGTCTTATGAATATTAGTTTCCCTTGCCTACTATTGTAAAATAGATACTTAAGTGGGATAGAAAGGAATTTT